GTACTGGGAAGGGTTACTGGGAGCACTGGGAAGGGGTACAGGGGGGTACTGGGGATACTGGGAGCACTGGGAAGGGGTACTGGGGATACTAGGGGTACTGGGAAGGGTTACTGGGAGCACTGGGAAGGGGTACAGGGGGGTACTGGGGATACTGGGAGCACTGGGAAGGGGTACTGGGGATACTGGGAGTACTGGGAAGGGGTACTGGGGGGTACTGGGGATACTAGGGGTACTGGGAAGGGGTACTGGGGGTACTGGGAAGGGTTAATTTGGGTTAACTGGTGTCACTGGTCAGTGTCCCCCTGTCCCCCGTCCCCGTGTCACTGTCACCTCCACGTTGATGAAGACGCTCTCCATGTCCTGGGGGCTCAGGAAGTGCCGCAGTGGCCGCAGGAAGTGCTGGGGACACCGGGGGGACACCGGGGGGGACACCGCGCCTTACTGGGAGCACTGGGAGGCCCCGTGAGGCCACCGCTGTCCCCAGTGTCCCCGATGTCCCCGGTGTCCCCGGTGTCCCCCGTGTCCCCACCTGGCAGATGGACTCCAGGGTCTCCGTGTACCTCTCCTCCGTCTGCCGCAGCTCCTGGAGGCAGCAGAGCCGCCGGTCCACCCCCCCCTTCTGTGGGGACATCGGGGACATCGGGGACATTGGGGACATCGGGGACATCGGGGACATTGGGGACATTGGGGACATTGGGGACATCAGAGACATTGGGGACATTGGGGACATTGGGGACATTGAGGTGGTCCCCAAGTGGTTTTGGGGGTGGTTCCAGGTATTTTTTGGGGTGTCCCAGGTGTTTTTTGGGGTGTCCCAGGTGGTTTTTGGGGTGTTCCGGGTGTTTTTAGGGGTGTTCCGGGTGTTTTTTGGGGTGTCCCAGGTGGTTTTTGGGGTGTCCCAGGTGGTTTTTGGGGTGTTCCGGGTGTTTTTTGGGGTGTCCCAGGTGGTTTTTGGGGTGTCCCGGGGGGCGGGGGGGGGTCCCTGTCCCCCGTGGGGTCACACCCACCGCGGCCGGAGGGGGCTCGACCCTCATCAGGTCCTCGTAGACGTCGTCGCCGTCGTCCCCTTCGGCCTCCACGCAGTCGTAGAGGTCATCGTCCTCCTCGGCCGTGTCACTGCCGGGGGTGGGGACAGCTGGGGACACCCCCGGAGCCCCCCAAAATCCCTCGGGCCCCTCTGATTGTCCCCAAATCCTCTGGGGGTCCTTTAATGCCCCCAAACACCCCCAGAACCCCCCTCTAACCCCATGAATGCCCCCCCAAAGTCCCCCAATGTCCCCAAATGTCCCCCCCGTGACCCCAGACCCCCCCCAGGACCCCCAGTACCCCCCCACTCACTCGATGAGGTCGGAGAGGCCGCTGTAAATGTCATCGTCCCCAACGCTGTCCTCGGACGGGAACGGCCTGGGGGGACACGGCCGGACACCAGTGACCCTCAGAACCGGACACCAGTGACACTCAGAACTGGACACCAGTGACCCTCGGGGACTGGACACTGGGAACTGGACACCAGTGACGTTTGGGGATGCTGGGGACACCACCCCCGGGAACTGGACACCAGTGACCCTCAGAACCGGACACCAGTGACACTCAGAACTGGACACCAGTGACCCTCGGGGACTGGACACTGGGAACTGGACACTGGTGACCCTCAGGGACTGGACACCAGTGATCCCCGGGAATTGGACACCAGTGACCCCCAGGGACTGGACACCAGTGACCCTCGGGGACTGGACACTGAGAACTGGACACCAGTGACCCTCAGAACCGGACACCAGTGACCCTTGGGGACCAGACACTGGGAACTGGACACCAGGGACTGGACACCAGTGACCCCCGGGGACTGGACACCAGTGACCCTCGGGGACTGGACACCAGTGACCCTCGGACACCTGAGTCCCGTCCACTCACGTGAGTCCTTTGCTCTGCGCGATCGGGGTCCAGGAGAGCGCTGAGAGCGTCTCAATCACCTGGGGACAGAGAGGTGACACTGGGGGACCGAGGGGCCACCCTCAGGTGCCACCCCCCAGGACCGCTGAGCCCTGAGCCCACCTTGCCGAAGTCCTGGACATCGAAGAGGTCGAAGGCGCCGAAGAGCCGGTGCTTGGGGAGCCCGAATTTGTCGGCGCAGGCGGTCAGGAAGGTGCGGATGTTTCTCAGGCACAGGAACTGCGGTGGCACCGTCACCGCTGTCACCGCTGTCACCGGTGCCACCCGCCAGCCCCCTCGGTGTCACCCCAGCACCACCGGCACCCCCGGTGTCACCACCAAAATCAGCGCCTTCCTCTCCCCGCGGTTGTGGCCACCGTTGTCAGCAGTGGTGACGCCATCATCTCTGTCACCGGCGGTGTCATTGTCATCGTCACCAGCACTGTCATTGTCACCCCGTCAATGCCGCCATTGTCCCTGTCCTTGTCACCCACCTGGCGCCATCACCACCACCATGATCGCCACCAGCATTGTCATTGTCACTGTCACCCTTGCCAGCGATTGTCCCTGTCACCCACTAGAACCACCACCGCTAAGACAATGTCACCATCAATGTCCCCATCGCCGTCCCCATCATGGCCACCCCCCTCGTCCACAGCCACCGTGGTCACTGCCATTGTCACAGCCTGTCCCCAGCTCGGCTCTCACCTGTGACATCTGGGGCCGGGGACAGATGTCCCGGGGGGGCACGGCGCGGGGCAGGAGGGCGTTGAGGAGGTGGCACAGCAGGACCCCGTCCCGCAGCACCTGCGCCAGGTCCCACACCTGTCCCCCGGGGCTGCTGGCCCGGTGTCCCGCGGGCAGGACGCGCGCGGCCACCAGCCAGTGGGCACATTGGCGCCACGCCTCCATGGGGACACCGGGACCAGCTGCTGGAGGTCCTGGTGGGGAGAACTTCACCGAGGTGGGTCCTGGTGGGGAGAACTTCACCGAGGTGGGTCCTGGTGGGGAGAACTTCAGCGGAGGAGCTGGTGGAAGAGGATGCAACCATCAGCTTCTGGACAGGAGCTGATGGAGAGGAGATCCTGCTGGAGGTGAGGTCCTGATGCAGGTGAGGTCCTGATGCAGGTGAGGTCCTGGTGAAGATGAGATCCCAGTGGAGGTGAGGTCCTGCTGGAGGTGAGGTCCCAGTGTCACCACGTCCAGAGCAGCACCAGGTGAGGCCCTGCCTTGTGTGGCCTTGGCAGGACCACGTCCAGTGATGACCCCTGGATGACCCCTGGGTGACCCCTGGATAAACCCCTGGATGACCCCTGGATGACCCCAGGTGACCCTGGGTGACCCCTGGATGACCCCTGGATGACCCCTGGATAAACCCCTGGATGACCCCTGGGTGACCCCTGGATAAACCCCTGGATGACCCCAGGTGACCATGGATGACCCCTGGATGACCCCTGGATGACCCCAGGTGACCCTGGGTGACCCCTGGATGACCCCCGGTGACCCCCGGACAAACCTCAGCTCTTCACGCAGCCCCCACGTCTCAGGGGTCCCTTCCCCGCAGGAAGGGGAGGAACCGGAGGCGCTGGGGCCCCGTGGGGCCACCACCGGTGACAAGTGGCAGACGTCGGTCCCCGTCCCCCCGCCAGGTCCCGATGGCCCCGGTGGGCTCCTTCTCCTGTTCCACCACGGCCGGGGAGGCTCCGGTGGCCCGGGGGACCCCGGGGTGGCCGGCGGAAGGCAGAGGTGGCACTGGGGACGGCGGAGGTGTCGCGCCTGCGCCCCAGGGGTGCCGCGGGGGACAACGGGAACGGGGCCGTGGCTCCCGGGCGCCTTCCGGGGACCTTCCTGTGCCAGCAGCGGCACCGGGGAGGAGCTGCCACCACGGGCTGCTGGGGACACCGGGGACATGAGGGGGGATCTGGGCTTCTGGGGCCTGGAGACATGCCAAGGTGCCAGGAGGGTCAAGGTGACCTGGACGTGGTGGCCCAGGAGGTCCAGAAGGGCTCCAGGTGGCCTGGACATGGTGGCCTGGACATGGTGGCCCAGGAGGTCCAGGAGGGGTCCAGGAGGTCCACGAGGGGTCCAGGTGGCCTGGATGTGGTGGCCCAAGAGGTCCAGGAGGGCTCCAGATGGCCTGGACATGGTGGCCCAGAGGGTCCAGGTGACCTGGACGTGGTGGCCCATGGAGTCCAGTTGGCCTGGACATGGTGGCCTGGACATGGTGGCCCAGGGGTTCAAGGCGGCCTGGACATGGTGGTCCAGGAGGGCTCCAGGAGGTCCAGGAGGGCTCCAGGTGACCTGGACATGGTGGCCCAGGAGGTCCAGGAGGGCTCCAGGTGGCCTGGACGTGGTGGGGGTCTCAGGATGGACCCAGCTGTCGGGGTCCTACCAAGGCTTTGGGGTTCAACCAGGCCCAGGTGTCCAAGCCCTACCAAGTGTCCAGGAGGTCACCCCGGCCCTGCCAGGGGTCACCGGGGGGGTCCCAGGTGGAGGTGAGGACCCTCCCCACCCCCCACCCCAGCAGTGTCCCCCGGTGTCCCCCCAGCCCCTGTCGCGGCCCCCCCTCGGGTGTCCCCGCGGGTGTCGCAAGCCCCGCGGTGGCCCCGCGCCAGCGCCTTCCCCGAAATGAGGAAGGACCGGGCGGCCCCTCCCCCACCCCCGGGGGGGCCCCAACCCCCCCCACCCCCCCCAGGGGCACCCAAGGGTGCGGGACCCCCCCCC